TTCTCGCCGCTTCTGGGGGGGGCGTGCTTTCTTTTAAAATTCCCATCTTTCACTTTACCTCGACTCACTGTTTATTGTTGGTCATGCAACCTCGCTCAGGATATGTTTCAAACGCTCGATCTCCAACGCTTGTCCCGGTCAGCGGCACTAGTTCCATTTGGACACACAGGAACAAAGAACAACTGCTGAGAGTCTCATTCCATCTCCTTATAATATAATGTTTTTCTATTATTTCTATATTGGGCAAGGTCTCCTTAGCGCTAACCAGCACCCCTAAAGGCCGCTTCAGTGTATCAGGACCAAATATGCCTCCATGCAGAAGGACATAAGAACGTAAGAAGAGACCAATAGTCCATCTAGTCCAGCATCCTGTCTCACACAGAGGCCAATCAGTTCCTCTGGATGGCAAAAAAAAAACAGGGCATGGAGGCTGAGACCTTCATAAGAGCCCCGCTGGATCAGACCACTAGTCCATTTGGTCCAGCATCCTGTCTCACACAGTGGCCAACCAGTTCAACAACAAGGCCTAGAGGCCAAGGCCTTCATAAGAACACAAGAGGTGCCCTGCTGGATCAGACCAATAGTTCTTCTACTCCAGCATCCTGTCTCACACAGTGGCCAAGCAGTTCCTCTGGATAGCTAACAATGGCACAGAGGCCAAAGCCTTCCCCAGATGTTGCTTCCTGGCTCTGGAATTCAGAGGATTTTTGCCTCTGAATGTGGAAGTTCCTCTCAGCCACCATGGCTAGTGGCCATTGATAGACTTATCCTCAGGGGTCATTTCCTGCAGGAGTGCACAGGAGCGGAGCTCCGGCAAAAAAAGAGCCCAGGGGGCAGGCACATGCAACAAGCCCCGCCCCTGCTCTCAGCAGCCCCGGGCCATGAGAAGCAAGAAGCAGCCATCCTTCTCTCCTCCTTTCCCTCCTCCTTTCCTTCTCTTTCTTTCTCTCCTTCCTTCCTTTCTTCACAGATCTGCATATTCCCCCCCCCCAGATAGTATTCCAAAACAGTCTAGTGGCACCTTTAAGGCCAAGGTTTATACAGGTACAAGCTCTCCTTCCTCTGTAAGGGAAGATCTGCGCAT